CGTGTGCAAGCGAAGAGGTGGTGGTAATGACTGTAAATTCGGCAAATTTTCGTGGTGTGTATTGAATATTGATGTTATTTAATTTTTCATTCATCACCAATAACTCAAGTTAATTACCTTCCTACTTAACAATTAATATATGTAATACATTGCATTTAAAAAAAAAAGTTTTTTAAATTTATATTTTAAGCTAAATAAAAAACTAACTTCTACTCTGCTGAAGTTACTATTTTCACCAAGCTAACTTCTTACTAACAAGGTTAGAAATTTGGTAAATTTCAAGAGCTAACTTATATTCTAACTCATTTGCTTTTTATATTAAAGTAACTTAACTTTAACTAGTGAAAAAAGTGACTAACTTGCAAAGCTTTGGGTTAGCCAACATAGTCTACGGGTTCGAGTCCTTGTAGAGAGCAATTTTTTTATTTTTATACTTAATAATTATCATTGTTGCGTATCTTGAGATTATTTTAACCACATCGATGTCTCAATTCAAAGCCATTTCAAAATCTCAATTGTCTAACCATTTCTTGGAGTTATTTCGACTACAACGTAGTTCATTGTTCAATTTGAAACCAATTCAAAAACTCAATTAAAAATATTATGAAAGTTAATCTTATTACGTTATAATATTATCTTAAAATATCACTTAACTGTGTTTGTCTTAACCATAAATTTAGAGCTATTTTAATTATGATGAACCGTAGTAAAATCAACATGTACCTATTGAGTCTCAAGTGAAAATCGACGTTCAAATATATCAACTACTTTTTAAATTAAAACAAATAAAGATTTTTATGTTTGCATAACTGCTGTTTTTACTCATTTAACTTGTCTACTCCCTAAAGTACCTACGTTATTATTGTGTGTTTCTTACGTCACTTCATCAATGTGTATTAACGTTATTTTATAATGAAAATGCATAAAGAAATGTGCTCCAAAAAAATTACACCGATCAGAAAATAAACGTCTTTAAAAATTGCACATTTTTGTTATACCTAATAATATAATATAATACTAGTTGATCCTGCATGGCTGCCAGTGATAAATTAAATGCCCGCGTATTGCCCCTTCTTAAACTCTGTTAAATCTAAGCTGCATAGATTTTTAACACAGTGTTGTTTTGAAACTTTTGATCAAATATAAAATACAGTTGGATATTATATCATTTATATCCAATCATAATAACTATTTAATTTACCAGGTAGGTAGGTAGGTAGGTAATAAGTAATAACTAATATTACAACTACAGACGGTCAAAATTGGTTCAATAATTTCAAAGTATTTCCCAGACGGATAGTCAAATGTATCTGTGCAATCACTGTACAAATGTATGCAATATTTACATTTAATTGTGTACTTTATATTTAATAACAGCCTATTTACAATTTTAATACTTTTTCATTTGTAATACGCGTATTTGAGAGAAGTATTTAGATTTTAGATTTATATTATATAATAATATTATATATATTACACTTGTAGAATCTGAGTGGAATGACTGATAAACATTTAACAAATTAAAAATTAAAAATGTATAAAATGTTCAACTTTTATAGCTGATGATTTAAAGTTAAACTGCAAGGTTCCACTTAAATAGGTTATTCTGTAACCATAAAATCTCAAAAATATAAAAACACAGTTTAGTTATTTTATGTTCAGATTTGGACAAAATTACATATTAAATAACCAAGAATAAAGATTTTAGTTATTTTGTTGTAATTTTATAATATTAATTCAACTTACCGGCTACCTTATTAATAATAACTAATACGTAATAACAATATAAATATAATATAAAATATCCACACTGAACAACCGTCTCCGCTTGGAATCGTTTTTCGTATACAATGATATTATATTATCATTGAATTAAAATTTAATACCATCCATTATGCAGTGATCGACTTGTAACCTAGTGTACAGCAAATCGACATCCACTTTTTATATTTACCATAAAGTATGGATGTATAGTTGATAATATTACAATAATTTATAAAAATACTGATAGTTACAGTAAAAAACTCTATATGTTCGGTTTCTAAAATTCCCTACTCTATCTATTAACATATTTAGTAGCTTTAAATAAATTCTTAAAATAATTAACTGAAACAATTTGAATTGTTTGGGAAGACGTTCTATATAGTACACTTTATAGTATTAAGGAGGATATTTTAATTAGGTATTGATTTTTCATAAAAACAACTCTAGAGAATAAAATAGAAACATTATACGATAATACCTTAAAGTATTGAAAGTTGCAAATGTATACATTTCCGATGGACCAAGACGGAAATAACTTTTACATTCAACGGCCGCCTTTACGATTTGTTTTCTTTGCGGTGCATGACGTTTTTCTCTTTTCGAAATAAATTCCCCCGTTTCGATACGCGCATTTTATGCAAATTACATCATTTAAATATTTCTTAGTACTGTCACGGAAATATACATGATTTTCTGAGAATGAGTGGCACTTTGACGAATCATTATTCGACGTCCCGAGAAAAGCATTTTAATTAGTCGAATCAGGACGGCTATCCTGTGTTTCACGAACGGCTTTTTCTAAAAAAAGACTCGTGCTCATAATAGTATGCCAGTATGGTAATAATATAATAATATATCGTCACGGCGTGGTGTCACGTGGCTGACGAAACAATTAGCTGTACCCAATTTAAAATGACGTTGATTTTAATAGCATTGTGAAATCAATACTTATATATTATTATTAAGACGGCGATGGAGAATAACGAAGGTACAATTCGCTATATTAATTCGATTTTAACAAAGAACCGACGAACAGTCTACTCCGTACAACAATTCAAGAGGCTTAAATATTTAAAGCACGTGAATCAAGATAAACATAATGTCATTTTTTTGAACGATTTGGAAGGTTCGCTTAATCGTATGTAATTAAAACAATATAGACTATAGGTAATTGTCTCAAAACCAAAAAGTGATATCTTGAAATACCAAATTATTCAGGAGAGAAATTTTAAATTTTAAACAATTATATTATAGTATTGTCTTTTGTGGTAATGAATGATTTTTAAATTTTGTCAAATTGAATACCTAGTTGTTTTATGCTGTCTC